ACAGTAGAACCTCAGTTAACAAAGGTTCCAGTTAACAAAAAAGTTGATTAACAACAAAGAATTTTGATTACATTTACCTCGCTCAGCGAAAAAAAATTCACTTATCAAAAAATTAGTGCATCAACGGTCGTCACAAAATTGTACATAGAATGCTATAGTATATAGAATTGTGCACCAGGCATCATAGAATGAAAATTAATTGACCTAAACTATGATTTCTATCTCCAAAACATATGATGGTTGTTACTAAAACATTATTTTCTGTTTCAGACTTTCAGGTATGTTTTTCAGGATCTTTATTGTTATAGTGAAATCACTTGACTCAATTAAAATTGTGCGAAATTATAAACCATCCTGTAAGCTTACAGATACAGAAAAAATGCTACATGGCTGCTGATATGAAGCTTGCTGTGGACAAGGTCGTTGTCAATGCTCAATGGCATGTCCATGGATACAGTAATATCACATTAATAATACAGTAATTAATGAATATGGTAATATAGTATCAATAAAGGAAAAACAAGTAAAAATCACAGAAAATGTCATTTATTTTACATACATCATCTACAATGAAAGAGGAGGACTTCAAAGTATTGTTAGTAATGGATGAGTACACTCTGCATGCTTCAAACGTTTTAAAATTAACTTTATTGCAAGTGTCCCAGATTACCCCGCTTTGAGGGGTAAATCGGGGTGGTTTTATTTTGCGTCTGGCACCTTACAAATAGCATATGGACTTTTTTTGAAGATGGCATTGAATAGCCCTTGCTAAGAGCTATAAAATGAGCCTAAACTTGTTTCTGAAATGTTTCATGGTAAGAAGTTATTAACAAAAAACGCTCAAATCCGTCCCTTTTTACCCCATTTGATGGTATGTTTTTCACGATCTTTTTTATAGTAAATTCACTTAACCCAATTAAAATGGTGTGAAATTACAAGCCGTCCTGGAAGCTTATAGATACAGAAAAAATGCTATAAGGCTACTGATATGAAGCTTGCGGTGAACAAGGTTGTTGTAAATGCTCAATGGCATGTTCATGGATACGGTAATATCGCATCAATAATACGGTAATATCGCATCAATAATACGGTAATTAATGTATAATTGTAAATGGTTATATCATATCAATAAAGGAAAAACCAGTAAAAATCACAGAAAATGTCATTTATTCTACCTCTACATCGTCTACAATGAAAGAGGAGGACTTCAGAGTACTGTTAGTAATGGATGAGTACACTCTGCATGCTTCAAATGTTTTAAAGTGAAGTTTTATTTCAAGTGTCCCAAGTAGCCCCATTCGACGGGGCTACTCGGACACTTTTTTTTGCTTCTGGCACCTTACGAATAGCATATGGAATTTTTTTAAAGAAGCCATGTGATAGCCCTTGCAAAGAGCTTTGAAATGAGCCTAAATTTGTTTATGAAATGTTTCATGGTAAGAAGTTATGAATGAAAAACATTTGAAATTGTCCCGAGTAGCCCCGGTTGACGGTATGACACTTTCCTAAAATTTATCATTTGCATATGTAACTAGAAGAGTTCTACTACAATGCACCAAAACCTGGAGTTATTTTACCAAAAAAAAAAATGAAAAAATTTGAGGGGGTTCCACGACAGGCTTTAAATAATAGCTCTTTATCATGGGTCACATTTTTCATTTTTTAACCTATTAGATATGCATAATTTTTTTATCTTTCTATTGTGTTATGTAGCCTCAGTATTAGGCCTTTAATGCCATTGATAAAATTTTTCTATGTCAAATACGGTGGTTTTTGAGTTTTGGGGGTTTCTGTTAAAAAAACTAAAAGTGGTCTAAGTTACCCTGGGAGTCTTAAGTTACCCCCTTTTATGGTATCTAACAATAATTTTGCTGGAAGTAGATAAAAAATTGATTATACTTCCAAATAGAAAAATTTCTTTCCAGGAATAGATGTTTCAACTTTTCGCCATATCTTTGAGTAAAATTTGGGTATCTATTTGAAAAGTTTCAATGTATTTTAGACTATTAAAAATATTCAAATTTAACATGATTTTGATTGATTAATGTGGAATTTCCTCTAACATTTTATTTCATTGGTCAGATACAACCAAACATTTGCGTTTCTCATGGTTAATGCAAGAAAAATGTGATTTATATTACACTGCTCAGAACTGAGAAACCAACTACCAAGAAATTTATAATTAAGTTGATGAATTAATCCTTTGTTGTCATCCTATTACACCAACATGTAATAGTGAAGCAATGTTCTATGTTAGGCTTTAGTCTTGAGTGCCTAAGTTCCCAACATGTTCCTATTTAATACAGAAAAAATCACATTTGATCAAACAATTTATTTAGTTATCAAGTAATGTCTTATTGTTGATTACAAACCCTTTCCTGATCGGTTAGCCTAGAATCTGTTGTCGGGACTCGCACACAGATTGCATTTCTCGAGCGGTCAAACGGTCGACGAGCATGAACATTGCCACAGGTCCGGCAGCTACTGTTCTTATGTTACGTCTGGCATTATTTTGTGCATACTGCAGAATTAGTGGCAAATTTTTGCAGCCTATGCCATCTGTGGAGTTGATTAACCCATTAATGACGAGAATTATTTACTGATTTTTTTTGGTTCCTTGTGAGAATATTATCATTTGTGATGGTAATAAACAAAAAATATGTTCATATATTTATTTTTTATTGTATGTGAAAAATTATAGCTTGGTTCCATATGGAACCGCTCGGCATTAACATAACGTTTCTTCAAACAACACTTTTTCCAATAGTAAATCAAGCAAGGTTATTCATAATGAATAATACGTATTCATAATGGACAATACCTACTGATGATAAATCAATCATGGCAGAATACAATTTAATTTTTAGCATAGAATGCTTCCATTCATTCAACTTGAATAGGAAGGTTTCCCATTTTACTAATGTTTGTGGGTGCGTTGCCAACATTGTTTACGAAGCACTGCATTTGCAGTGCTTCTGATGTCTCTTTGCTGGCCAATGTTGTTGATTGTTGTATTGCACTTCACCAAGGATCAAAGTAGAAGGGTGCACTATAGACCCTGATTGTTTTATTTAGGGTCTCCTGCATTATTGCATTTCCTAACCGATCTTTTTGAAAATTTATTGCACTAGCCATTCTTTTTTTTTCAAATGTCTTTTGAGAAGCCAAATGAAACCAGAATAGATATCACATATAATATGTTGGCTTGGGACCAACTGTATCATGTTTATGGGACCAATCCATGTTCCAGCCCATGAATAAGTTTATTTTTCTATTAGATCTTCTGGTTGGCTTCAATTGCAGAAAAATATCATCTGATTTATCTGCTGCCCAAAGTTTATAACTAAATCTCACAGGCTAGGCACGTATATGTCGTAGTACATAACCACAGTTGACTTTTTTTCTCTATCAAAAGTCATTGTTTTCACATTTGGTGATTACTGTTGCTGCAATGACTATTCTCGATAGGCGAGCAGAATTGCTAGTGCTGCGTCATCTGAGTTATCTGAATCTCAGTATGTTTCGTTTGTTGCTGCTTCTGTGAAAGGTTCTGTAGCAAATATTTGATCTTCCTGTTATTCTTCTCTCAAAATCTCAATTATTGCATGTGATGATCTGCCAAAATACAATTAGAAAAAAAGTGACTCGGGATGAACAATCGTATACCGTCAACCGGGGCTACTCGGGACGGTTTTGAGCGTTTTTTGTTAATAACTTCTTACGATGAAACATTTCATAAACAAGTTTAGGCTCATTTTATAGCTCTTTGCGAGGGCTATCGAATGGCATCTTCAAAAAATTCCATATGCTATTCGTAAGGTGCCAGAAGCAAAAAAAGAGTGTTTCGAGTAGCCCCGTCGAACGGGGCTACTCGGGACACTGGGAATGAAACTTCATTTTAAAACACTTGAAGCATGCAGAGCATACTCATCCATTACTAACAGTACTCTGAAGTCCGCCTCTTTCATTGTAGATGATGTAGAGGTGGAATAAATGACATTTTCTGTGATTTTTACTTGTTTTTCCTTTATTGATATGATATTGCCATATACATTAATTACCGTTTTAATGATGTGCAATTATCGTATTATTGATGTGATATTACCGTATCCATGAACATGCCATTGAGCATTTACAACAACCTTGTCCACTGCAAGCTTTGTATCAGCAGCCTTATAGCATTTTTTTCGTATCTGTAAGCTTACAGGACGGCTCGTAATTTCACATCATTTTAATTGGGTTAAGTGAATTTACTATATGAGATGACCGGAATGCTTACACTACTGCCGAGCGGTTCCATTTGGAACCAGACAAAATATTTCATGATCTAAAAGACTTTAGAAACATTATATCACGTAATGCCATATACAGAATTGAAAGTAGACACTCTATTTGTCGGTAAAATTCTGCATCTATCTTATAAATAATATATTCTTAGAACGAACTACTTACCTTTCTCTGCAATGATGTCAAGCCCTCCTGTCTGACACCCGGTACTTACAATCTTTTAATGTTAACTGAGCAGGGAGTAGTCGGCGCAGCAGAACCATATGTTGCCAGAACACGTCCAAGATGTGTATCAAACCTACGCATTCACTAGTATATTGATTTGACCATACAATTTTATTATGAATCCATTTTTTTTCCCTGGTTCCAAATGGAACCGCTTGGCATTAATGGGTTAATAGGCATACAAATCTGTCTGAAGTTGCATTATTTCCACTTAGGCATTGTAGCTCTGAAATTCTTGAAAAAGTATGATTATTCAATTATCCATTCATGTGTTGGATGATGAGATTTTATTGTCATAGGGTTATGGCTCTCTGTCATGATTCTTGGAATTATTTTGTGACTTGGAATTGTTTTAAACACTTATGTCTGGCTTTTGACTAGAATTTGCTGCTGTTTTATAGTATGAATTATTAGAATTAAAAAAAAAAAGTTTAGCATAAAATTGTACAGATAGATGTAAAAATGATTTAATTTTTTCTTTTTTTTTAAGCTCTGAAACTGAATACATTTTTAGTTTATCTAAACATATCTATTAGAGGCATCAATCTGATAAAGGAGGGAGTCATGTCAGTTGTTAATTACCAACGATTCAAGGCTCACTCTGTTTTTGGCCTGGTGGGCTCTGGCCACAGTATTGCTTTTATCACTCGACAGTCACATGTAAGACGTTATGTTGCAGTAACTGCTTGTCAACTTGTAATCATTTGGGATACAAGAAAACAATCAAAGGTAACTATAAAATGTATTTTATTGATTCAAATTTTTTTATATACCCATATGATTTATCAAAATGTTGTTATGGTCATTGGTAGAGTCCCTCACCACAGTTATGAAAGTTGATGAATAGAATAAAATAAAAAATAACTTTTCTGGTGGTTCTTACTATTAAAAAAGTTATTAAAATATTCCTACTGTGTTTTTCATAAATTTTGGTTCCTTGAAAGATGAACTATATTGTAGGTACTGGTAGCACTTGAAGTAATATCTTTCCAGGTTGCCACCCTTCAGTGTCCTGATGTTGAAGGGACAGCACAGGTGCTCAGCTCTCAGCCACCTACAGATAATTCGCTCAATAATTCCAACATTGCTGTTGGTTATTCATCGGGAGAAGTTGTGGTCTTCAGTATAAAACAGAATGCAGCCATAGATCCTATTGTATTTGCTGGTAAGAATAGCACTTGTGTGCAGCAGATTTCCAAATAGATATTATCAATGTCAATACAATATTAAACAAGAAATATTTTAATATAATTATTGTATTTGCTATTTAAAGATTAATTGCTGAGTTATTTTGGTACTTATCAGGTTAACCTATCTATGGGACTACTTAACTTTGATTTATACATATCAAATTTTCTATAATTAGATCTTCATTTTTAATTTTATTTTAAAGTCTCTTTTGCTGTCAATGTCTGAGTTGTTTGTTGTTTATCAGGTCATCGAGGTACAGTTTCTTGCCTTGCATGGGAGAAGTCAGGCATGCGGCTGGCCTCAGCAGGTGTTGATGGAGAAATAGTTATCTGGGATACAGTAAGTTTACCCTGTTTTAGGTCATAATCTTATATTTTGTTGTGAAGTTTATTTGATTTATAAGTGACTCAGGGAGTGATCATCTGAGTAACTCATGTTTTTCATAAATTGCCAATTTGCTGATATAAATCTATAGATCATGAAAATTTTATTCATGTGTTTTGTACTGTTGGAGAAAATGTCAAAGCTCAAGAATGAAGAGTTCTATTTAATAATTACCATTACTCTGATGTTCAGATCTCGGAGCGTGGTATCATCAGACTGCGAGGTCACAAAGGAGTTATCACTCGGGTCCTTTTTCTAACAACTCGAGATGGTCTTGTGAGCTGCGGCAAGGATGGCTTTATTAAGTTTTGGGACATACCCACTGGGCACTGCTACAGAACACTGGCTCCTCTCACTGCTGAAGTGGGTGATAGTTCATCATTTCCTCATCCCTAAATGTTTTTTTACCTCTAGATTTGATAAATGAATAAACACTTACATTTGTCAAAATTTAATTTTACTGTCTATTGTTCACACTTGTCTAATAGAAATATTTTAATTTCATAAATATGTTGTAAATTGGAAAAGTAGCTTATAAAATTTGAGTTTTTATATCATTTATAATTTTTAATTTGTGTTGAGGAGATAATGTGAGATGATCACAGAAGTTTTATAAGGTATGTTACTGAGCAGGTGTGGGATATCGCGGTATTGCGGTCTGACACTCGGCTGGTTGTGGGCGGCAATGATGCTGCCCTGCAAGTCTGGGCTTTGAATTTCAATGAACAGTCTTCATTAAGTAAGTTTTGATTGGAAATGATCGATTTCATTTAAAAAAATGTTTTTACCCGATATGTATTATTGATGAAATTAATGTCATTTCTGACTTGATCATTGTGAGTTCCATACAAATGTAATTGTGATGTATTCTCATTAATGATTATTGAAATCAAGATAACAAACTGTATTACTATTAGTTAATGTTTAATTTATTAAATTTTGCATTTAAGCCAGAGTTGCTGTTATTTTAAACTTCATGCACTCAAATGAGAAAATAATGATACTTATTTACTGTTGCTGCCTCGTCCTCTTATGTTTTCCAGGTAACGAAAAGAAAGTTGGTGATGACAATGCTGCTGAGCCTGCAGAAAACAACAAACATTTCTGCCTCGACACTGAAGGAGCTGCGGCGCCCTTGCCCATCATTGAAGGCAAGCCTCTACAGCTGCCAACAGACGACGCTGTGAGTGCAACACGACCTTTGGTTGCTCATATCACTAGCCATTCATTTAAGCCCTAATGAATGTTTTGAGGCTTGAAATTAATGGTAGCCTTAACATTTTTTTAATCATAAAACTTGATCTTTTAATGACTAATATTGCAAAAAATATTGCATCATAAGCTGATGTTTGCTTATGGAATGGTGTTGGCACAGAGCATTCTGTCCGTGGAGAACCTGGGTCACCTGCAGCGCTCTCACGCTGGACGAGTGCAGGGGCTGAGTGCCAGCCCCACTGGTGGGGTGCTGGTGTGCTACGGCAGGCACAGCTCCATGGACGTCTTCAGTGTCCTCAGTGACGACCAAATAAAGGAGAGGGTTAGAAAGAGGATCAAGAGGACGCGCAAGAGGCTCAGGTATTTATGTCCGCAGTGAATCTTAGGCAAAGCCAGCTCGTTGCCTGCTTGTGGCCCCTCTGTTACCAGGCCTTTACATACGAATGGAGCGTGTCAGTTGATAATGTATCCTAGACGAAGGGTAAAGTGATAACGTATTCATCTAAACATTCTCCACTGATGATAATTTTAACTGTGAATAAGTCAGGGAAATTTATTGAGAATTTTATCAAATAGTAGAGGGATAATTAATGCTTGTAGTTGTTTCAAGTTTCAAATGACAATATTCAAGTTAGTTGTTGATTTGCCATTAAATCTGCATTTCTTGACAGGAGCAAGAGGTTCAAAAAAGCTATCTTTTATAGTTTCACATTAGCAAGGAGAATATTTTGATGTAGTTTTTCTCAGCGTATTTCACATTTGTTATAATGTTGGTTCAAACTAGTATTATTATATAAATTAAATTATTTCTAAGATGTTTTGAAATTCTAAATTTGTGTTCCATTCATCTCAGATCAAATCTAATTTAATTAATAAGGTATGTGTTCATAACAACAAAAATTGAAGAAATTGTGAAGCTTCTGTAGGAAACTAGCTAAACCTTCATTTAACAACTTCAGGTTTCTAATTTCCAATGATATATGCTGTTTCGATGCCTAATGATGGGAGCTCTTGTTACCAGGCTTTATTTAGTTAGAGAAAGCTGGCGACATTAGTGTTACTTCTTGGCGTCATTGGTACCAGCCGTAGCTCCAGCCAACTCCTCACACAGTTCACGTAGTATTCCTGGTATTGAAGGCTATAATTTGTTTTAGCTAACCATTCAAGTGCCGTGCTGATACCGTCCTGCACTCCAGGGAGGCGGGTACTGAGGAGACTGAGACGGCCGTGAGCGAGGAACCTCAACTTGCCGATGAGATGCGATCCATCACCTGCCTTACTGTACACGGTTAGTGTTTAGTGGCCGTACTAGTGCATGGTTAGTGCTTAGTGGTCGTACTAGTGCATGGTTAGTGCTTAGTGGTCGTACTAGTGCATGGTTAGTGCTTAGTGGTCTTACTAGTTCACGTTCAGTGCCTAGTACATGTTCATGTTTCAGAGAATCATTGTCTCTAGACATGAGAAGATGTTCTCATCTTCATTTGCAAATTTTATCCTACTGATTTTCGTGTGTTGATGGAAATTATGCAAAAATGCACCATCAAAGAACTGAAAAATTTTTAATTTCATGTAATTTGACACTTTTACTTATTGGTTTCTGTTTAAATTAGGTAGTGAGCGCTAGTCAGCAAATTTTATTCAGTTTGTCTCGTATGCATATTTTATCTTGTAATTTTATCTCGTAACCAAACCAATAGATTGCCTTCCATAATTGAAGTCAATAACCATATACCTGATCACGAAAAAGAATAAGAAGTTTATGCAGAAGTGTTTGTTTTACAGACAAGTTGTGCGGGGCGAGTGTGGCAGAGGAGGACGGCAAGGCGTACGTCGCAGTGCTGTACTGCAACAACAGCCTGGCTGTGCTGCACTGCAACCTCACCAGCACCGACCAAGTCGACAATACCGTTAGTGCTGCCTCTTCTTCCTAGCATTTTAACCACGTATTTTCCTGTGTGTTTAGTGGACTGGCAGTGCTGTATTGCAATCTCACCACTAGCAACCAACTCAACTGAAATGCCATCAGTGCTGCAACTCTTTCTATTAGCTTAACCAGTTATAAAACTTCTGTTTTGTGACGTACGCATCTATAGAGATCAAATCGCAGCAAGGCATTGTCACCCACCTACCAATTCTCTCAGTCACCTTTAGAACGCGCTGGCTTCATTCAATGGAAAAAAATGGATCTTGTATGGAAATTAAATGTTATTGTGTTGAATTAGTTAAAACTTCACTTGGTAAAACACCACACTATCACGGAAATATGTTTGCAGGTCTGCCACATCACTCTCGCGGGTCACAGGGCTGAGGTGCGCGCCCTACAGTTCTCTTCTGTTGGCGACACCATCGTTACTCTCAGCAACGACTCCCTCAAAACCTGGCACAGGTAAGCAGGCACCACACAACAGGCTGGCATCACACCACAGCTAGGTACCACACTACATTTAGGCACCACACCACAGCTAGGCACCTCACCACAGCTAGGCACCTCACTACAGCTAGGCATCACACCACAGCTAGGTACCACACTACATCAAGGCACCATACCACAGCTAGGCCACACACCACATTAAGGCAACACACCGCAGCTAAGTACCACACCACAGCTTGGCAACACACCACAGCTCGATACCACACCACAGTTAGGTACCACACCACAGTTAGGTACCACACCACAGCTAGGTACCACACCACATCTAGGCACCGCGCCACATCAAAGCATCACACCACAGCTAGGCACCACACCACGTATCAATGTTCGATTGCAATCAAGATGGTTGGTTATTTTGAGATCTCTGCTGACCTTGGATGCATGAATCTTTTACAATGTTTCATGTGAATAGCTGCCGAGTTTTGTTCCGTTCAACACTAATCAATCTTCAATTCATCCGCCACTGGCTCAATTACTGTGAAATTTGTTCCAATCATATATGTTTGATATAATTATTCCATGAAAGAACATGTTGTTTGGTGCGGACGCATTATGATTATATCGGTTACTTTGTTTGCTTTAACTCTTATTCAAAGACTTGATTTTGCCTCTACTCGGTGTAAGTATGATTAGAAAGCACGACGGCCGTAATGTGCTGGCGTGATAGGTATTTGTGCGGGCCATGTGTCGTGCGTGAGGGCCATGTGTCGTGGGTGAGGGCCATGTGTCGTGGGGGAGGGCCATGTGTCGTGGGTGAGTGGCATGTGCCGTGCATGAGTGGCATGTGCCATGAGAAGGAAAGGGGTGTGAGTGGCGTGCACCGTTAGTATCCTGCAGCATGTAGCATGACAACACCCCTGCCTCAGGTCTGATGCGTCATGCCAATGCACGGCGACGGTGGCGCTGCCGTGCCTGGTGCGCTGCATGGCGCTGGCACCCGGCGACCGCCATGTCGTCCTGGGCGCCGCCTCAGGACACCTGCTGCTCGTCGAGCTCGCCACAGGCTCCGTCATCGAGGACATCTCCAGCGCCCACTTCGACGACGATGGCGGTGAGAGGCGCCTGTTTTAAATTAATTAATTTTCTCCTTGCACACATTAACGGTCGTCAGTGTTATTCCTATACAAAGTATTAATCCTGTCTCCCGATACATTCACGGTTGTCAGTGTTACTACTATATAAAGCATTAATCCTATTTCTCCTGTTACACTATCGGTAAAAACCTGGTAACTATATTTATTGCCAGTAGAAAAAGCGATTTAATTTGTTAGCCAAGTTTCTGCTGCAAAATTGCTGTGGAATTATTTCTGCAAATCGAGCAGGTAGCTGCTTGCAAGTGACAGGGAATGAGTAAATACGTGCTGATCATCTGCAAAATCAATGTCCTTAGTTCTCAATAATTGCCAGGCCCGCCTAAGTCATGATATCTTTGAAATAGTTAGACCAAGGATTTGCTAATATTTAGGGCTAATTGATTGTGTGCAGGTCCCTGTGACGTCACGGCGCTGTCTCTCACCGCTGACTGCAAAGGCCTTGTGTCCGGGGGGCTCGACAAGACGCTCAGGTGATCTCCAAGTCCAGCATGTTAATCTTTCTTACTCTAAATCTGTTTAAATTGAATATTATATATACTTAAATTATTCAAACATTATTCTTTTTTGGCATGTAAGGGTAATTAGAAATACAGCGTCTTTTCTGCTGTAGGAAACATTGAACTTTGAGGGCAAAGTGTCCTTAGTAACAGTTTTTTTATTACCAGCTTTGGTGCGCGTGATACGGGCATGCTGCTTGTTTGCTAGTGCTTTCACATTTATGAAACAATTCAAATAACCTTTCTTGCTACTGCTGCTTGAATTATAATTTTGAAATTTCGTTGCTGTCCATTAATTACTGGGAAATTTTTTTACATTTACTCTTGACCAATTTGTGTCCACACAAATTGGTCAATAATGCTCGCACGTTACTATGTGCTGTGTTGCAATAATGCTCACACGTCACTATGGGCTGTGTTGCCATAATGCTCACTCGTCATGTGCTGTGTTGCAATAATGCTCACACATCATTATGTGCTGTGTTGCAATAATGCTCACTCGTCATGACGTGTTCAGGATGTGGAGGTTCGAGCTGGTGAGCGACGAGGCAGGAGGCCGCCGTCTCTCCCTGCAGAGCGGCAGCGACTGCGCCGTGAAGCTGCACGACGGCGTCACCGCGCTGCACTGCAGCCCCGACGGCAGACTGCTGGCTGTAGCCACGCTCGATAATAAGGAGACGCTCTACTATGTTGATACCATGAAGGTAATGGGTAGTTATGTTTGTACGGCGATGGTAATGAGACGCTAAGTTCATACCATGAAGATATAGAGACGTTATGTTTATATATGAAGGTAATGAGACCTCGTGTTGATACCATTAAGGTAACAAGTCATTGTGTTGATACCATGAGGGTAATGAGACGCTCTAATTTGTTGACACCATGCAGGTGGGGTTCTGATGTTGTGCTCTACCATGTCGAGAATATAAATGTGTAGCACACTTCTAGTAACAGACTGCTAAGAAATGGCTCAACTAGTTATTGATTTGGATGCGATTCTAAATCAATTGCTAGGTTAAAGCTGCCTGTAAACTTGTGTTGGAAGAGAATGGAATTTTAATTGAAAATTTGTGTGATGTTGCAGCTCCATCAAGAACTGTACGGCAAGTCTCTGCCCAGCACGTGTGTGTGCTTCTGTCATGATGGTAGCCTGCTGGTCACCGGCAGCAAAGACTCGGTCATTAGATTATACGGCACCGACTTCGGCGACATGAGGAGGTAACTCCCACCTACCATTAGATCCTTTTTTTTAGATCCTACCATTAGATCCTATTATTACACCTCTACAACTGAACTGCTTCTGCCACACTAGTCACCCTGTGATCAATGCTGTAACCTGAATAACTTAACTACTACTGGCACACCAGTTCGTTTATCTAACATCTGTATTCGTTTCCCAGGATGATCAAGAACGCACACACGGGAGGAGTGACGGCCGTGAAGTTCCAAGCACAAACTCGCCTCTTCTTCTCGACAGGGCACGACGGCCTGCTCAATTATTGGGACGCTGACTCCTTCCAGCGCATCATGACGCTCCGTGGCCACGCAGGCATCTCCAGGTCAGTCTTAAGTGTGCTCTCCCTCCCTCTGATCTCTGATTACTGTTTGTCTGATCTCTGTATACTCTCCGTCTGATCTTTGTATACTCTCCATCTGTTCTCTGTATACTCTTCGTCTGATCTCAGGATACATTCTGAGTGATCTCTGTATACTCTCCGTCAGCAGATCCCTGTCTATACGCCTTGAGATCACTGTATGCTCCCCATCAGATCCCTATCAATCGCCCCTAAGGGCAACTGGGTGGTTACGTGCGGACAAGATTTTTCTCTCCGGCTGTGGGAGCGCACGGAGGAGCTCCTGAACCTGCAGGAGGAACGTGAGGAGGAGCGTCGTCGCCTGGAGGAGCAAGACGTCCCAGAGGACGAGCTGCTGGCGGGGCAGAAGCGTCACGTCGAGGGCGAGACTCCAGACTCCGAGGCCATCAGGGCGAGCCGCCCCACTGCAAAGACTGAAGAGGCGGTCAGTGGTGCAACAGTTCATTCATTGCACACCATCCACTGTCATAGAACCTAATTGAATTTTTGCTTCGTGTAAATTTGGACCGTGAATATTATGTATGTTCCACTTGGCGCTTGAATACATTATTTTTCTTAATCAATTTCTCCCCCATTCTTAAGGGAATAATCTCTTGTATCAATTTCTTACTTATTTAATTTTCTGCATAGTTTTTTTCTTTGCCTTCTGCTTTAACCCAGGTTGACCAAATTTTGGAGGGCCTGCGGATGTACCAGACTTATCTGAACGACCCCGACGCGCCCAAACATTACCTCATGATCACGCACGGCGTCACTGATCCCATCGAGTGCTTCTCTGAGATCCTCAACAAGATTAAGTCGAGGTGGGTCTTGCGTCCCGGTAACCGAAATATTTGCGTCTTGGTTACCAAAGTAATGCGTCTTTGTCGGTAAATGCTATAGCTAGCTTTCACTTGATTGCCTGCTCTGTGATCTTTTTATTATTCATTCTTTACGTGTCTGTACTACTTTCGCCGTTCTCTTGGTCATTCATAAAATATGTCTTATATTATTCTAATCCATTTATTAATATTTTATTGCCTGACTGGTTATATAATTGACTTGAATATCTTTCATCGGAATCTTATTACAAATGGTGATTTGATTCTCAAGCCGTTTCAGTCAGGAACATATTTGTAGCCGTTCTGTATTTACCTGCTGCAACAGGTAAATTTTATTCTAATTCCAAAATTTATCAACAATTTTAATTTGTTCTACAAGTACAAAGCCTAATCAAAATTATTCTTCTATTATTTAATAAAACATTAAGACGAAGTATTATGCCTTCACTAATTTAAATCTGTATAGAATCAATCGACACAATTCGAACTTAAAATGTTGTGCAATATTTTCAGCTGTAATAACCGGAATTTCTAATATTGTTTTCTACTGCGGCAGTTTGCTAGAAGAGGCGATCGTGCAGCTGGAGCTGTCGCAGGTGCTGCGGCTGCTGGTGGTGCTGGCGAGGATGTGTAAGCGCAACTTGCTAACCGAGGCCAGCGTCCGCGTCGCCGTCATTGCCGTCCGCACTAACTTGCCGCAGCTCGCCGCCAGCACTCAAGTTCTCCCCTTCCTATCTGTGCTCTCTAAGCATATTGAACTCTACACTAAAAACCTGCAGGTTTGTTTCGCACATCGAAGCAGGCAATCAAAATTTGTCATATTGTCAAATATGACAATTGTCAAATATGACAATCAAATATGACAATCAAAAATTTTCACCAACAACTTAATGTTTGATCTATCTTTTGCCGCATAGAGAATAATTATTCTGACTAGCGGTATGTGTCGGGAAAGGAATGGCGTACGGTAGTTAAAAAGAACTAATTTTCCCCCATATGCTTTCTTCCTTGCGGGAGATAAATTTAGACAAGCAACGACGGTGTTTCTGAATGTTATAAATGTGTTCGAACTTCTTTGCAAGAACTGCATAATTATGCATTGTTCAGGTCATTTTCAAATGTGTTATAGTAATAAAGTGCTAGGAGTCGAGTTTGCCATATATGCTGATTTTGCTTAATCACTTCTATATTTCAATTTTAGGACAAGTTAGGCTTCACATCAGCTGGCCTGCGGCAGTGCATCGAGAGACATGAGACTAAGCATGAGACGCAACTTTTTGCCGAGGCGATGGACAGGCTCGCCATGAACAAGAGAAAGAAAAAGAAGAAAGAGGTGGCGACTCGGAGAGCTCTGCTCGCTATGTCTTGACGTGTAAATAAAAATACCTGAACGAGACTTCATGCGTTTCATTTTTTTTCGGATTTTTGTGTTTAACATATTTTGCGATTTTGGCGGTATCCTGCACAATCGCTCCCTCCTCAAACGGTGCTATGTCACTATCCTGTAAGTCTCATTTCTGACATCTTCCAAGTGTACATACAGTGTGATGTACCACTCCCCTATCTCTAAGTGCTCCAGCCTCCATTAGTAGCCCAGCAAAATGTAAAGGGAAACAAGCTTAGAGCCCTGTAGGACAATGTTCTGGTCAGGAACTCTTCCTACCAGAGATTACAACGAATGGAAATAGCCCTGTGGTTTTAACATTTATTATCAATTTGAAGCATTAAACAAACATTTATTGCATGATACAGGTTGAACCAGAATTAACTGACCCTTTTAATTTGTTAATAAATAAAAATCTAAGAACGTTATTAAATTGAAACTTGTTTTATTTAAAAGAAGAACATTTTTATGGTAATATTGTATCCTAGTTTTTAGGATACAATATTACATACAATATTTTAACTAATACATATTATTAATACATATTAAATATTTTAACTAATACAATAATAAAATATTGTAATAGGATACAATATTTTAACTAGGATACAATATTACCAAAAAAATGTTCTTTTAAATAAAACAAGTTTCAACTTCATAACGTTCTTAGTTTTTTATTTATTAACAAATTAAAAGGGTCAGTTAATTCTGGTTCGCCCTGTATAAAGTATTTAGGCATATTTTATTTGGAAATTGCACAAACTAAGTGTAGATTTTCTGAAGCACTTTTAAACCTAATACTACACTAGCCCACCTCCCATCTAGTGAATAAAATCCAAATTGCTCCAGTCTTGTTTAGTAGCTCAGCTACCATCTAATGATTACAGTCGTAGTTCCTTAGTATCTTCCGATAGCTCAGCTCCTCCATCTCGACAGGTGTTCTCAGCTAGAGGCCCTGGCCAGTGATGAATCTTCAATGTTTTCAAGTTGCTAAACCTTTTCATTAGAGCGACGAGTACCTATCTCAGGGGCAGATATATCAAGTTTGGTTGTACGTATGTGATTTTCTCGAATATCGTCGTAACGTTTCTGATTTTTAAACTGCATTATAAATCATTATATTTATAATCTAGAGTTATTGTTGGTCTATATCTATGCATTCAATTTTAATTGACAAATTTTCATGTGCAAAGAGTTGTTTTGAGCACATTCAATTACAAAATCGCTGATTTTTATACGTAAAAAAACGGGTCACAATATAACGGCGTCTTTATTATTAATAAAGAAAAGAAGTGTCGGCATTGAAGAAATAGTCCCATGGCCTATTATGTTATGTTTTCATACGTTTTCCCTTTCAATTATATTAGGCAATTTTACCAAGTGATTGAATTCTTGCATTTGGCAGTTTTTGAACAAAATTAATGCCACACTATGGACATTTTATGAATGACCGCCTGGTGTCAATAAAAGAATTTATCTCAGAAAATTAAGATGCAAATAAACCACATACCAAAATTTTTATGGCTACCAGAAAGCTTTTATTAACAACAATCAGCTGTCGACTCCTGCAAATCTTATATAAGATCATTAATTAGTTATACTAACACCCATAACATCATTAGCATCGATTTCCATGCTAGAATAATAAATAACCCCAACCCAAATGTTTTAACATTTATTTTCAATTTGAAGCATTAAACAAACATTAACTGCATCATGATATAAAGTATTTAGGCATATTTTATCTGGAAATTGCACATGCGCCTCGAATCGAAATAACCGCACGAAACGGTCCCGAAATAATTAAAAAATCAAAATCAAAAGTTTGTCGTAGTCACTATTTCATGCAAAAAAAATCATCGAGTGAGACAAATAAAATTTGATAATTTAATGTGTATGAATTTTAAAAATTTCAACTTTAGTTGGTAAATATTATCATCAAACCGATGCAATTTTTGCTTATTCACTTTTGAGTGGATCTCCCACACCGTGTTGTTGTGACGGCAACATTTGTATGTTTTTATGGTTCAAGGATCTGTGCAAAGTGAGTTCTGTGGATGCCTCTTAATTGTTTTTACACAATACATGCCAGAATTTTATTCTGTCTTGGCGTTAAAACATAGCAACGTGCTTTTAAGAATGTTAGTAAATAAGCAGGCATTTTCATTGGTTGAATTATTTGATGCTGAGTTGAACAGAAGCTGCTACACGCTTTGAAGCGGCTTTGTTGGTTAACCTACCTAATTACAGTTACACTTAGTAATTAGTAGTATCGTAGATCTTGTAGGTAAGATGAATGCAATATTCTAATGAGCAGCTGTGGTTTCCCTGTTGAATTCGTGTCAGGCAGCTGATTTTAAGTTATGCTTGTATATGGATATCCTGCCTAACCCTCGGGCCTCGAGCCCTCGACAATGGGCAGCAAAGTTTTACCTACATACAATTGCTCCTGAATCCTGATACTGTGGATGTGTGGATTGTGGAATATCAAGATTCAAGAAAGTTTTAATGATGCACCTAATGATCCTAATCATTACATATTAACTAAATAATCCAGGCAAAAATTGAGCCTCTTGTTAAGTTAGGATAATGTAATTCCTAATTGCCAGGCTGTCAAAAATCAAAAATGTGACTTGTATTGATGATTTGGAAAAAATTTCTGGTAGTTTTTTGACATCTAAGATTGGAATTTTTCTACTTTTTAATGAAATCTTGTGGCTCCATATTGACAGATATTAATACATTTGGAATCTCTTTGTCTGCTTGTGTGGTTTTATTAACAATTAGGTAGGGTAAACGCGGTATATTCCGACACATAGAGGATGCATAGAGAAATGAAAAACTTTAAAAAAATAACTGTATGCGTTACTCAAGTTCCGTTTGCTTTATGTGACTCGCAAAACAGCATAGGGTAAACGCGGTATATTCCGACACATTAGGGACACATTGAGAAATGAAAAAGTATTAAAAAAAACGTATGCGTTACGTAAGTTCTGTTGCCTTCACATGACTCTCAAAACACTTCACTACGCGTCAGCAACGATGAAACGTCACAAAATGTTGCCATATTTATTAAAAAGCCTTTAGAATGGAAACCTACCAAATCCCTATATTCCGTCACTTTGTGTGGCAACATCCGACTTGATCTCACCACGTGGCATGCATTGTCTCTCTTCATGGTGGCAATCTAGGATTTGGGCAAACCTCTCTTTGGACGCGTTCACTTTTCATCATTGCACTCGTTCACTATTGATCACTTTACTCGTTCACTTTTCATCATTTAAAATACCAGTTCACTAGTTTTGAATATGTTAGTACGTGAATTGGAATGGAATTGTTCCTTATTAAATGAAACACTAAACGACCACAAATTCTTAACGTAGTCCATATCGAATTACACCGAAGTCTGAACATGCATGCAAGTGCGTACTGCGTGGTACGTATTCAGAAGAACAATTAGCCGTTACATCGCGGATTAGAATGTTATTTTCCCGCGCTGCGGACGAAACTATGAAATTAATTGTTATAATTTTACAGAATATAGTCTCAATCACCATTTTTCATGTTGCACATTTCATTGCCTAGTAGACAAAAATTTGTTCAAAAAATTAATTTATTTTACTTTTTGGAGGCCTTTTTATTATGTCTGAACTCGACATTACACAACGATGACCTAAGTGACCTATATGGGTAACCGCATGCCTGGGTACGATTGCTCGGTGAAACGAAAATCTTCATTGCTGTAAGCAAGCTCTGCCTGTAAAGGACACGTCATCATTCATGAGAACGCAAAATCACATTACCCACTACGTAGCATAAAAGTTACGGTACGTAGCATAAAAGTTACGGGATCCATTCTTCCTATATTTAGGTATTATTTACTGCACCATAGCTGCTTTCGGTTGATGTTCATTCTGTAGAATTCATGAACGTAATTCCAGGTTCTGCCAAAATAAATTGAACATGGATGAACATGTTTAATTTTAGGATGCAATGACCGGCAGTCTAGGCTCATAAGAAAATGATGTTACCATGTACTATGGTTTTGTTTGTGGCTTTTGTTTCCTGAAGTTGAAACACAGGTGATGAAACGCCATGGAAACTGTAAAAATATGAAACTTCAGTACAATGCATAAAGTAAACCTTGCATGGGCATACAGAAAGAAGTTAAAAACACAGTAGAATAAGTTATTCTACTGTGAAGTACTGAGTACTGTGTTCTATGGCAGCTCTTTGTTTGAAGCCATTCACCCACGTCAAGGGGGCTGCCTGCAAATCAAAAACAATACCCTTCAACTTGGACGTGAAAGGTCAACTTCACTTTGTTTGAAATGTTTATTGGACATCAAAGAAGATTGTAATACTAATTTTGATTAATTAATTAAATTGAAGTAAATAAATTGAATTAATTACATTAATTGACTTTCGATGTTTCTAGTATTGTTTTTGACCTGCAACTGAATGGATTTTAGGACTTTGTCCAGGGATTTTCAACCCAATTATAATTAAGTTGATACCTAATTGCTTAGTTGGTTTCGAATAATGAAGGGCCATTATGAAGGGCCATTATCAGTACCAATATTCGGAATTGAATGAACACCACTGGCTGTGTATTCTATATCACTCCTCGGATAACTTGACTCTGTCGTGTTCGTAATATAATCATAGTGGCTGTTCAGGGCATCACTTTCTCTCCTATAAAATAGAGAAATATATGAGTTTGGAGCATGGCTTTCAATTTCAGGTGGAGTCAGATTTTTGTGCAGCGACCACCTATACACTTCGACATTTGAGGGAGTCCGCTGCAAAACCCAAACGTCTTTCCTAAACATATGTGCGAATAGCATTATTTCTAAATATGAACCGTATTTGGCCAACCTGGTGTTCTTATCGTCATTAAATTGAACGGGACTCCTAATTTTTGATACGTATGCATTTTTGCCTCCAGCCGCATCTATCTCGCGTTTGAAAAATGTATTAATTTTATTGCTTAAATATACGTCAGTCGTGTTGTGGGTCTCAATAGGCTGCAATTCATTGTCATTATCGCCGAAAGGCAAATTATCGAGGCAATTTGCGATTTCGCTTCTAATAGTACAATGTTTTGCTTGATCGTTATAAACATTTTGAGCAAAGGCTCGAAACAAACAATTCCCATCCCCAACTATTTTTATTACCTCTCTGCCTTCATTCCGAAGAGCTGTTATTAAAAAATGTTCATTACATGACGAATTTTTTGTGACGGCAACCCGCGGGAAGAAAGAAGATATTTTAATTTTTTTGCCGCCTTCTACATCAGACATTTCTTCGCATTTTCTCTTTAAGTTTGGTTTTATTTCAAGTTTACACTTACTATTGCATTTGGGAGCAATTTTTTTCGATTGTTGCAAGGTGCTTAGATAGGTTTTTACCGTAGAACTACGTTCAGCTATTGGTTTATTTTTCATGAGCGCTGGTTTGTGATCTTGCAAGAAAATTTCTGTTGCACGATCCACATTCATTTGAACCATATTCGAATTTACCTTTAAAAAAACTTCAATGTTAACATTGTCTGCACAATTTTGGGATAAGAACTCATATTTGCTTTCAAATCGGTTTCTAACGGTGTTCGCTACGTGCGAAAAAACGCGTTCGGTGGATGATTGCGAAGGTTTCATAAGTTGAACTATTTCTAGGAGGCGGAAAATATTTTTACAGCACAATTTTGAGGCGAATTGACTGTCATATGCTAGATACTGAGAAAATGCTTCGATGTATTTTACGGTTCTATTACTGTTTTTTAAGGTGTTGTCTCCACAAGGAGACCAGTTGTTTTGGAAATGATTGAAGAAAATTTCAAACTCGCGTCGTACACAACTGCAGTCTGAAGGACCAAGACAAGTGTCACGACATTTTGCAAAATTTACGTTAACAGTTGAAAATAGCTCCCTAACGCAGCTCACTCGATCGTCGAAACAAACTTTATTGTGTACTGAAAAGGCTTTCGTCGCAAGGCTAATTGATTTTGGAATCGCTAGATATGTTTCGGCAGCGCGTTTAATCTCGAAAACCCAAGCTTCAAACTTGCCCATCAAATTTTCATGATCTGATACATCATTTTCACAAGTTGACAGTTGAAGTCGTGTTTTACTTGGCAAATTTTGTGCCAAAGATTTGAGGTTGATACTGGGACTTTCATTACCTACTTTAAATGAGAAAATCCCACTTTCAACAAGATAAAATGCTGCCTGAGAGTCTGGAGATTCCGAGAGATGCTCTAGTGTTGCGTTAAAAGATTTTACACAGTCTTCAAAATCAAAGGGCCCGAAACATATCTTTTGCGCGTATTTTTCAAGTTGAGATATTCTCTCGTAAAGTTGGCTGATCAACATTATTTTGGCGACAAATTTTTCGTTTAACAAAAGTTTTAAAATTCCTAATGATTTTTCTCCCAATGCAGGGTGCGATAATAAGGAGGGAAGAGCTTCCACTAAAACAAAGAGGTTCGATAATATGGCGTCTAAGTGGTCGTGAATGAATTCTGCAAAGCGGGTCTCGCATTGGCTAGGAATTACTCTAAATGTTTTACCTTTTGTGATGTTAACAAATTCGTGCATTGCATTTCTTACAGCAGAATGTTCATTAACAAAATTTGCAATTACTTTTGTTTTCTCAAGCACTTGCAAGACCCACTTTGGAGAAGCGGCAGCTAGCGTGTTTTCTATCTTATGACACAGGTCAGGCAACGAATTCAATTTGTTACATTCTATTTCTTGCTTCAATTGCGCAATCATTCCGGATTTCCTGCCAACGTAAACAGAGGCACTGTCGGTGCATAAAAAAGCTACGGAGCTCATCGGAACAAATTTCTCAACAGTCGACTTCAGAGCACTGGCGGTTGCCGCAGCATCGCCTTGACGTATCATTTCGACTCCCAACAGGTGTTCTTGCGGGAGGCCCGATTCACCAATGTACGTTGCGACTACTGCCTGACGAGTAACATCTTTCGGCGCAGTGCCTTTATCAGCAGCTAAGGTAATTTTTCTTGCGGACCCAGTCGATGGA